CCACCCACTGGGCTTTGGAGTGGAGGAAACACCCAGAGGCTTTTGGATGGGGACTGGGAGCCAGGCCTGCCACCTGTGGAGCTGAGGCTACGAGGAGACCCCTGAGAGGACTCTCAGCAATTTGTCCTATCTTCATTGCATGTGTTCATTCCCTACCTCCTTTGGTGTCATCCTCGTATCCCAGGGTTTAAACGCTCAGCTTCTGGAACTAGGCTCTGTATATTTAGATTTCAACTCTTCCATTTACTAGTGTTAATTTGGGGTGGGTTTCATAGGCCCATCCACCCTGATCTATAGCAATTAATAACAAAATTATTTGTTTTAAGCCACAAAGTTTTAGGGAGGTTTGGTGCACATCAATAAATAACCTAAACACTCCTTTAACAATGCTTCTAAATAGGCATTTATCCAATTTTGCTTCCATTTCTGTAAGAGCCACCTCATCAGTCTCCCTGCCTTATTAAAATGTCCTCTTAATGTATCCTCTGTGTTGATGTCAGAGTAATCTTTCTAAACTATTCTTTCTCCAATGTTTAAAATCCTTCAAATTCTCTAACCTCATTTAAACAAAAACTCCTTAGCATTCTACAGGTACTGATGTCTCGCATTTTCCCCTTATTCTCTATCTCCCCACCCTGCCTTTGCACCCCATGCTCATCCTATGGGACCCCCTTGCCACCACTGAACATTATGTTCTTTTCATACCTCTGTGCCTTTGCATATGCTATTCCTTCTCCCTAAGACATCCTCTCCCCTCCTTCTCTAACTAGGAAGGCTATCAAACGCCTCAAGGATTACCTTCTCCATGCTTTTCTCGAAAACCTCCATTCTCAGTTAGATGCCCTTCCTTTTTGTGTGCCTTTATCACACCACTCATACTCAGATCTGACAAAATTGTCAGTTCTCCTAAGCTAGCTGGGTATTACTATTCTAGAGATTATCAGAGAGAAGTTAATTCATCCTATACAACTTCCTTCTTAAAATTTATTTATTGATCTTAGAGGGAGAGAAACAATTTTTTGTCCCACTTATTTATGCACTCATTGGTTGATTCTTGTATGTGCCCTGACCAGGGATCAAACCCACAACCCTGGCATATCAGTTTGATGCTCTAACCAACTGAGCTACCTGGCCAGGGCCTAGCTCATGCTCATTCATTAAAAAAGAACATGTGAATAACTACTGTCTTCTAAGGAATTCAAAGAAAAAATACAGAAATAATCCTAAGAAGTTAACTTCTGAAAACAAATATCTACGTTTTCCAAGATTTGGTCTCTGCCACATCATTACAATTATGAACTCTGTGGTGTCTGGCACATAGTCAGCACCCGATCATTTGTGGACTTGTCTTTCCCCTTCATTGTTTAAATGATCTCCATCTTAAGTTGTATTCAAATAGGCTTTTCAGTCACTCAGTGACTAAAACAGGTTTGGAGACCCAGGCCTGAGAACTACTAGTTTGAATGACCAGCCATTTAAAACTGTGAAAGATGCCCAACTGGTGTGGCTCAGTGGTTGAGCATTGACCCATGAACCAGGTTGTGGTTCGATTCCGTCAGGGCACGTGCCTGGGTTGCAGGCGAGATCCCCCGTAGGGGGCGTGCAGGAGGCAGCCAATCAATGATTCTCATCATTGATGTTTCTATCTCTCTCCCCCTTCCTCTCTGAGATAATAAAAACATATTGAAAAGTAAAATAAAATAAAACTGTGAGTCTGTCAAATACTTAAAATTTCATTTCACTTTGATGAAACACAAACCTTAACCCATTATATGTTCACTTTGAAATGGAGGCAGTGATATGAGACTAAGAATAAAACATAATAGTTTCAAGAAATGTGTGAAATATAAATACAGTGAAACTATAAATAGGTATCCAACCAAACTTTTATTGGTGTTTTATTGCAATCTACTTTCATCAATAAGGGGAAAGAAACCGTAAGAACTCCGATCAGATTTTATTTAACAAAGCAGTTTTTCATGAATGCTTAAGGTCAGTGTATAATCAGCTCAGCTTCCAGTATCAACTTGAGTACCTCATCATGGAAATTTAGGCCAGAATGACAACAGTAAGCCATCACAAGATCCTAATTCCTCTATAATTAAACCATATTTTACATATAATTTTTGGGACAGTATACTAATACTCTATAATAAATAAAGATTTAAAAAATGTGTTGCTTAGCCCTTGTTGAAATTCAATTATTAGCATATTCTTTAAGTACTCCAGTTAATAAAGGTTTGATTGTACTTCAAGAACTCTGACTTTTCCAAAGATAAAAAAATTAGTTCTTGTTATGACAAAAATTAAGCTTAAAAGCACATTCACACTTGTCCTTAAAAGCATGTTTACATCATATATGAGATAACCTGGAGACATGGTTCATACGGCAAAAAGTCATATGCAAAGAACAACTAGAGGGCAATCCTCCCATCTCCACATCCTCCAAAAAGCCACACTCGGCCTCAGTGTAAAAGTTATTATTTTATTGCCATGCTACAAAATGTATGAAGTTGGCACTGATAGGGAGAAACAGAGAACAAAGGGTGGGGGGAGAGAGAGGGCAAAAGATGTTGTTACATATATAACAAGGTTTTAATCAACAGTGGTAAATTTTACCATTATTAAAAATGCAAACCAAATTTAAAATGCTGACATGAAACAGCATTAAAATACAATTTATGCATAGTACAGTATCACTTATGTCTTTTATTAGAGAAATGTGGAATGTTTATAAAAGAAATTAACCATAGGGGTAAAATTCATATCTCATATACAATTTGGCAATGGTAGTCCCACTGTTAAACAATTTTTTTTATAAAAGAAAAAAATTAAAAATCTAATAAGCTACCTTTATACAAAGTTGCTATATTTATGCCTTTATGTAGGAAAAACAACATTTATAATGCAAATTAGGACATACAATAATCTTACAATATCATACAATGTAATGAAAATAAAAACATAACACAAAATTCGTCCTTTATAAAAATGTATATTTTGCATTTACTAATGCAAATGTGGCACACCGGTGACTACTGTACTATTAATACCAGTCCATCATAGAATTGCAATTGTAATGATGCTACAAAAGAATTGTGTTATACCCCCAAAAAATGAGGCAATAGGAATGGGGAATAGGTATGTAAAGAACAGGAAAGATAGATATGGTGCTGGTTTGGGCAGAGTATATTGTAGTATGTCATAAAATAGTTGTTAATTTTTCAAGCCAGAAACATTTTCTATACATTCTAGAATTTCGTACCAATGCCTTTATTCAAATTTGGCAAACATCAGGGAAAAGGTGATTAGTACCATATACCTCACATACCAGAAATATGAATGAGATGCCAATAAATCAGTTACTTTTGAATGTTGTTGTCTCTGATGGTATGTCTATTTCAAGGATATATATATGTATATATACATGTATATATACATATATATTTACACATATGCACATACTACACATTGCACAAAACACTTGGGTATTATGGGTTAGGAATAGCACAGGGGGGAGTGGGAAGTACTTTTTAGCTTGTTAAAACTTTTACCTTGAGGCAAAAAATACGGTGGCACATTATTGGGAAATTATGAAAACATAAGGCCCCTGTCCCATTTTTAATAGAACATTATTGAGGTACATTTTTACATGTTGTGCCACAGATTTCCTTGGGGGGGGGTGATAAACACTAGCTTGACTTGTAACATTGAACTGTGGGGTCAACATCAATATCTATAAAAACAAAGATTGCTTGGCAAATTTTCCTAAGTCCCAAATGTGATCTATTCTGGATATACTGGGAAGTGAAAAGGTTTTTGCTGAGTCTTCTAGAGTAAAGTGCATATCTCATCACTCCACAGCAGCAGTAAATAAAAGGAACTATTTGCCAATCTTCCTGGAGGGAGAGAAGGCACCGTATTTTCATTTTTAAAGAAAAATGAAACTGGGAAATAAAACACACTAAGAAAAAACACAGTCAATACCCATATCAGTTTCCAACCCTGGTCTGGGATAAAAGCTGTTATGATCTATACAGATAAAGGAGAATTCTATTTGGGAAAATATATGAACAATGATTATATTTCCAAAACTGAAAAGTGGGATCACATGGTCTAGCAACAGAACAGAATATCTAAAATTAGGTCTGTCTCAGGAAATCTGAAACATATGGTCACAATTATATCGCAATAAAATATTTCATTCTAAAATGCACCTATTAATAGGTACATTCTTCCATGATAGAGCTTAGTGCCCATTACTAAACTACTGCGAAGGACAAGGAGTGTTCTACATTACTTTTTATTAAATAGGAACCCAGGTGATTTCCAGAGACATCTAGAAATTAACACCAGTTGTATGTGTACATCTTCCTAATACTCATAGTACCTAAAATCAAATTCTTAGCAGACAAATTGGTCCCATTTTCATTTTTAAAGCACATAGTATTTAAAGCATAAACTGCAATGATTACATTGGAGTTACCTAAAAAACATAATAACTAATTAGAATCTAGAAGGAAAGGTGAAAAGGATGAGAAAAAGAAAATAAAGTACCCAACCTCCAAAATGAATAAATAGGTCAGCCCTTCCATTTGGAGGTTAATGTTCTGTCTCGACTGCTTATTTCAGAGAAAACCATGTGTACTAATTCCATCACAATTCTTATTCCACATTACAAAAATCACATAAATTTGGCACGGTTAGCAATCTACTCAGAAGAAAACGTAAATGCAACAATATATTAAAATGGAAACTGCACACCTCTACCACTGCTCTCTTTTTAGGGAACAGTGAACACTTTAGTAAGCACCAAGTTCACAGAAAAAAAGAGATTCTGCTATGCGCATAAACCAATGGCACTGAAAATAACAGACACCTTTAATAATTTATTTTCTTTATAATGGTCCCATTCTAATATTTCCCTAATCCATTCACTGTCCTATAATTGGTTATTTATTGAACAGGTTGGATGCTATATGTCTGAAACTTTTTCATGCTAAATTAACCTTAGTTACATCTGGTAGATCCAGATCATAATCTCAAACTTCCTCATATTTAGAGAAAAATGGTAAAATATTTTGCAAGGTTACCTAACCTTCTTTTCACTCTACCTTCTCTTGTCTTCTCTAGTGTTTGGGAAACTGAAATATTCTTGATTTTCCAAGAGTTGGACATATGACCTCTTGTCAGTTTATGTAAGCTTCAATTTATTTTAAATCCTAAATTATGACATAATTTCATTGCTACAACACTTCCACTGTACCTGCTATGCTGGCAATAATCTTAACATTCCATTGAAATCAGGGATAATCAAAGATCCAGCTATGAGCGAAAGGACAGCAGAGCTGAGGAGCACTACAGTGGGCAAAATACAACTGCAGCCATGTGACTTGAGAGGATCACTGCTAAAGTGCTGGGGTGAGTGCCCACAGAGAAACAGTACCTTTAGGGAGCTTTGCATGTTAAAAGTAGATTCCTTTTTTTCCTCAGCTGCTAAAGAGATCACCTATGGACACAAGTAAAATTTAAAACTGAGAGAATGTTTTTATCAACAACTTGAAAAGTAAACAGCATATAAATAAATACTGGACAAGGGCAACCCTGTTATAGAATAACAGTAAGTTCCAAATGAACCTTCAAAACCACGATTTGACAAAAATGCAAACTAAACAACAATAAACACATAATCCAATTTTAAAACTATATACAAACTCAAACATTTTAAATTGAAAAGGACATTAAGCAACAAAATAAGACATCCCAAACACCAAAGGAGAAAAAACTGAAGGTAAATGGCAATCTAATGGCACAAATGCCTCCAGAAACAATGTTATTGTTAATAATCCATAGAGGAGACACTTTCAAGAGATCATGGTTCAGATTTCCAAATGCTTTTGGGTAAAATGACCTGAGACTGATTCTTGAGCCTATTGTAATTCTGATTAAGATATCTGGGCATGCCCTTCCAATGACATCATGAGATGAATGCACAAAAAATCTTGTCTCCTTCCTGCCTTTCAATACACCAACAACAAACCATATTCACAACACAGGACTCTTTCTAGTAAGCTGAAGGCAAAGGAGCTGACTGGTACATAAGGAGTGTGGTACTTCTATTTCCTTTACATATGGTTTGGCTCAAGTCAAAAAGCCTACAGATAGTGAAATAAAGGATTCCTCATGTTACATGCTGGACGCCACATACCATGAACAGTGAATCTACAAATATCACTTTCAAAGCCTAGAGTTATCTGCTAGCAATGCACATCAAGAGGCTTTATAAAATGTCTGAAATGCCAACCATGACTTAGACATGATATGCTTAAGTCCAGAATATTGATAAAAATCAACCAGCATGTCACTCACTTCAACTCTTATTTTAAATAGGCACTGTGAAAATGGGAGTGCTGCTGTACAGTAATGAGTAGTATATAATGAAATTAGTGTTCTTTAATGAGTACCTGCTCTACATTAATTCCCTTTAGTTAAAGAAGCACATGAAATATTAAAAAAAAAATTATCAGTCTATAAAAGGAGTTAGTGTTTAGAAATGAAAATGAAGCACTTGCATCTTCATTTTTTAAAAATTCACAAAGGTGCAAACAATGTAATGCTTTCCAGGCTCACATGGGCAGATCAGTACTATTATGTCTAGTTTTCCTAGATGTACCATCATCTCGTGGTAGTGCTTTCTGCAAATTTGACATAGCAGCAGTTTTCTCAATGTCTATCACAGCATACAGCTCTGTGCGCCTCGTAGGGGTCTGTGGAAGAGGAGTCGTAGGTGTTTTTGGAGTCTGAGGGTTGTCGGAGTCACTGCCACCTTCCAAGTCAACCTGTATGTAATTGAGCTGCCTGTGTTCTAAACTCGGGCGTCTGATATCAAAGTTAAAGACTGTCGGTATACAGTCCCGACGCCTTGAATATTCTATTTTGTGAGCACTTGCTGGCACTGTTACATTCTCCGTATTTACATAGTTATGCATTGGGTCTAGATTATTATGGTAGCCATTGAGAGATGGGGTCTTTGGTCCTAAATTGTCATCTTCATCCCTACTTAGCTTGCGGGCTTCCCAAACAGGAGGCAAAGATGGTAAATTTTCATAGTTTAATAATGCAGTTCTTCTCTGAGCCGAGTTGTTGATATTCTGGGTATCGGAGGTACTGGTGGATGTCAGACGACCTCTCCGGACCCCTGAGGCACTAGGGATAGATAACCCATTTATGTTTTCATACACCAGTTTGTTAACAGAGGGTGCATCTCTTCGTTCATCACTGTCATATCCAGTGTCCCACTCTGTGTTATTTGCACCACTTCCACTGACTTGATCTCTTCCAATTTTCTCCAGTTTCTCTTTTTCCATTAATTGTTTTTGTACAGGAGTTGGTCCTAAGACAAATCTGACTACTTCAGGTTCAAGAAGAATCTGAGGGTCCCTGTCCTCAATACTAGTTGGTTCTTCTTTTGGAGTGTTGCTTTCAGCATTAGAAATCCTCGCCTCCAACGGGACATGCACACTTGCACAATTTTTCCGCTCCTCTTGCACACCTGTAGTGTTGACATAGGTATGTACCTAAAACAAGAAAGTGAATCAGTAAATTGCTTGAGAAAATAAAAATAAAACAAAATGTCTAACCATATTAGTTAATTTTATTAATTTTCACTCTAAAACACTCTTGCTTTGAAGCTTTTGCACCTGGTGTTTACTAATTAAAAGGGGTGTAGGAATGTAGCTTCTAAATTTGATAAAAGAATAACTAACATGCAAAACTATACTTGATAGTGAAATACAAAAAGCATTCTGTAAAAAAAAAAAAATCAGGAACACATAGGGGTTATCATTTTGGTGGTGTTCTAGAATTACCATGAACACATTAAACCATGATTCAGAAATAAATAAGTATTAAGAAGGAAATGAAAAAGTTATCATTATTTATGAATGACTTGACTATTTAGAGAAATAAATGCTACTAGATTTAGTGAGTTCTGTAAAATGCACAGATATAAAATAAATACTACCTACAAAGAGGTAATCACTAAACTGATAATGAAAAGTTCAGTGGTATTTTTGGGGACAATATAAAAAACACTTAGAAGCCTATATACAAAATTTGAAAAATGCAAAATTACAAGAAATGTAATTATATAAGAATTCATGTACTATGTTAAAGAACACAAAGAAATGAATTTTAAAACAATAAAAATTTCTTAATGATAAATGACCATGCAGTTTACAGAAGATAAGTGTATAACTAATTAACACATAGACAGTGTTTAACCAGATACTTCATTCCTAAATGAAAAACAGAATAGTCAAGGAATTACATAGCTCTGTATAAAAACATCGACAACGAAACCTACCTTCCAGCTAGTAGTCCACTAATTATAAAAAATATAACATAAGCAGTAGCACCAATGGAAATTGATTGGAGGTTATTTAACTTTATTTATAGATGCGCCTCTCCTGAGAACCCACAAATGACTGTAATGCTAAGTTTCCCTCGACACCTGTACACAGTTCAGCATATGTCAGCAAACATCTGCTATTTCCTCTGATTATTCACTACAAAAGTCACATACTAACAGTGAAAGCTAAATAAATTCAAACCGACTACCATCTTCAACTCCACGCAAGCCATCATCCCGTTAGACAGCAGCACACGCTTACCTGTTCCTCAGCCACAAGCAGAGGATGTGTGGATTCTTCACCTACGGAAGGTAAGCGCGCACTGCCCACAGAAGGATGTCTGCTTGAGGGATGGGACGAAGCATCTCCAAAGGAGGGATATCGGGGATAGCCATTAGGTAAGTTCTGAGCAGCAAACCCTGGAGCTGAGTTTGTTTATTGGTTTAAGAAGAGAAAAGCAGGATACAGAGGCAGGGGAGAGAGAATAAAAATGAATGAGAATACAATTCATTTTTGGATCAAGGAAGGTGTTTCTGGCAAGACAGCAGAAACCAGAGCACAAACAGCACCCACTCCGTGCCAACTTTCCATTCACATTTTAGATATCGAACAGTTAATGTTATAGTTAAAATATTAAATACGTTTATAATTATAGCTAATAGCTTTTTAAAACTGATGACCATTACTCTTACTATGCTAGCCAATGGTGATTTCTAACATTTTATAGATTAAATATCCATAGTCTATGTTTATAAATGGCTGTTAATCAAAGTACAAAAAGGAACAGCCCTGGCTGATGTGGCTCAGTTGGTTGAGTGTTGTCCCAATGCACCGAAAGGTCTTGGGTTCAATTCCTGGTCAGGGCACACACCAGATTATGGATTTGGTCTCCAGTAGGGGGTGTGCAGGAGGCAGCTGATCCATTGCACTGTCACATCAATGTTTCTCTCTCTCTCTCTCTCTCTCTCCCTCTCTCCCTCCCCCCCTTCCTCTCAATCAATACAATCACATAAGAAAAAATATTCTTGCTTGCTTTAAAAAAAAAAAATACAAGAAGGAACAGGCTGACA